CAACTGGTAAAAGGCTGTTTACAGTTATCGGCTTGAAGTTCTTCGAAGGGTAGAGCTAGGGGTAGTTTTTATTTGCTAGCGTGCCGGGCAAGTTTTTACTAATTCACCATGGAAACGATTCAGTGAGTCGTGCTGTCAGCAGCTTCCCCATTAGCTGAGGTGAGCAGCAACTCGAGTTTCAAAGTTAGCGCCATTGTGTATTACAGCTTGGCTTCTTAAGCTTTTGCACACGTAGAAAAATAGAAAAAAGGCATTTTCCTGAATAGTGAAGTAAGAAGATTGGAATTAGGTGTCATGTATAAAAAGACATTTTACGATGCAGTCTCTGTGTTTCATCCCTTAGCTGTATACACAGACCGGACTATGCATGCAGGTAGGAGTGGGAATCGTCAGTACAGCCTCCTATCCGCCATGTATTGAAAAGACATGTAACTAATTTGCAAGAAGGATAAGTGAAAGAGAAGGAGAGAAAGTGTAATAGCATGAAGCCATCCCGTGATCCCTGTCGATAATTGTTGAGTTGAACACGTAAAAAAAGGCATTTTCCCAACCCTTTTCCATGATCCCCACCGATAACTGTTGAGTTGAAGGTACCAGAAGTGGCAGCACAAGTTGGTGATAGTGACGAAGATGATAAAGCGAAAAAGAAACGGCGGCGTGCCGCAGATTCCCCGCTTAGCGAAGATGATGGCTCCGATGAGGATAAGCCGAAAAGAGGCAGAAAGAAAATGCTGTTCAATTTCACCGAAACCGAAGTACGGAGATTTGTGCGAAGTTTTCGAAAGTTTGCTGAACCGCTCAGCAGGTTAGCGTTTTTTTTTTCTTTTGCGTAGTAAATATTGATTTGGAACTGAAACATCTTTGGTTGGTTCTTCAGCCCTGCAGTTGGTAATTTCTCGCTTTGCACTGGCATTAATGGTGTTTCGTTTGGTGGCTAGTTTGCTTACGTTCCCGCCAAAAAATTTGCATATTTTTTAAGGCATCCGTAAGTGAGACTCAGCCGCGTACGGGTGACTATATTAAAACGAGAGATTCGCACAGATGGTGGGCACATACTCCCAAAGTTTCAGCTCTCTAGCTTTTCTGGTTCTGAAGCTGACATACTTTGCGGCATCTGAAGTTGTTACTAGCTTAGTGATTCTTCCGGAAGCAACAGTCTTAATCCTTTGTTGTGCTTAAACAGCGCCTCCCAAATGTTGCCATTTCTAGACTAAAGAGAGTTAAATATTTGAAGTATTCGTCAAATTGATTGCCAGTTGCTAGAAGAGTAAATTATTAAGTGATTTCAAAATTATTTCCGACCTTTCCTACTTTTAAAACGATTTTTCAAAATATTATTGATAGGGATCAGTTTCAAAGTATCCCACTTCTAACGACACTGTTGCAGGCTTGAAGCAATTGCACAGGACGCTGAACTGGAAGA